TGTGTGTGTGTGGTATGTGCACGTGTGTATGCATGTCTGCATGTATGTCCCATTGTGTGTATGTGGTGTGTGTGTGTATGTGTGTGTGTGTGTGTGTGGTATGTGCATGTGTGTATGCATGTCTGCATGTATGTAAGCACACACGGGTATGCATGCCCATGCATGCATGTGTGTACATGTGTGTATGGGTACCTATGCATGTGTGTGTACAGGTGGGTATGGGTGCACAGCGTGTGTGTATACAGGTGGGTATGGGTGCACAGCGTGTGTCTGTGCACAGGTGGGTATGGGTGCCCATGCATGTACGTGTACAGGTGGATCCTCAAAGTTGGTGTCAGGAACCGCTCCTCATCACTCTGCCACCATTTGTTGAGGGGTGCTATGGAAACCTGACCTCCCTGATGTGGCAAGACAGCTCACTCTGGGGCCCCCATCTCTACCTGCTTAGCATTTCTGTGGGTTCTGGGTGTCGCATCTCCAGTCCTCATGCTGGGTCAGCAAGTGCTTTCACCACTAAACTCTCTCTCTAGCCTTGACCACCTGTTCCCTGTGTACACGTTAGGATCATGTGTGTGTGCCTGTGCTTGTGGGCGGTCAGAGGCCAGAGGTCAACCTGAAGCACCCTTCTGTAGGAATCATCTAACTGCCTTTGGAGATTGGCTCCCTCACTGGCCGAACCTTGCCACGTAGGCTAGGCTGACTGGCCATCAAGCCCCTGTATTGCTGGGATCATAAATACAAGCTACTGTCTTTCTACTTGTATTTCTGAGTATCTAATCCAGGCTTCGTGCTTGTGTGGCAACTGAGTTCTCACCAGTTCCTGAACATTTATTTCAGATGAAAGAAACCGGACCTGCACTATTACATAAACAAACCAGTTTTTCCTTTGGCCTCTGGTTTTACTCTCTGGAAAAGCTAATACTTTCTTACTGTAAGGCCCTTCCTGGTTCTCAAGCCGTATGGCATAGTGCATGCAGACAGGAATCCATGTCAAAATAAATTTTGGAAATCTCAGAAATCCATCTCAGTGTCCCTGTGCTTTTCTGGAAACGAAGCAGGAAACCAAGTACAATTTTTTTTTTCTTTTTCAAAAGCTGAGGTTCAATTTTCAGTGTCTAATCCAGTTTTCTCAGGAAGTGTTAGCCACGCGTTTCCTATCACCATCTGAAACAGTTGTGTTCTGTGGTGCGGCCATCTGTGTGGGCTACGGCAGACACACTGGGAAACCCCGTGATAACGGGAGTTCGGTTAATATCTGCCAGAGAGGTGATCGCCGGAACCAGCCACTCCAGGACCTGCGGCTGGAGTATTGTGGGGGGGGGGACCGCCTGTGCCCTGCACCTCCCTAGGCTGCAGATATGCCTGTGGGAGCTGCAGCCCCTGCCTGTCTGACCTGTGGTTGTGCTGAGCGGTGGCACAATGCCTGCCACCCACAGGGCTGTTGTGACAATTCCCGAAGCAAATGCTCTAAAGCATTGTGAACAATTCAAAAGAAGGGCACCACTTAACTGCCAAAATCATTAGACACCCACAGATACGGCTTTTTTTTTTTTTCGAAACACTCCTAACACGGTGCTAGAAAAGGGCCTTCCCAGAGTTCACTTAAATATCAGCGTGTTTCATTGCATTTTAGCCCACTGGCTTTTAAATTAACGATCATTGCCAGGGTGTTCACCACATGGAAGGGAAAGCTCTTTGCTCATTGCATGGCAAGACTCTGGTCTGAATGTGTTCTCCCGAAGCACATTTGTTAAAACTCGATGTCCCCCACCCCCCAATGGCATAGTGCTATTAGTAGGTGGGGCTCGCTGGAGATGGGTGGAGCCTGAAGGCAGAACTCTCAATCACGAGATTGCCAGGTGGCACGGGAGAATTGTCTGTATTCTGTCAATCATGTATTTTAATAAAACGCTGATTGGCCAGGCAGGAAGTATAGGTGGGTCAACCAGACAGGAAGTAGAGGCGGGGCGATGAGAATAGGAGAAGGCTAGGAAGGAGGAAGTCCATTCCTCCGTTCCTGCCCAGACCCCAGAGAAGCAAGATGTAACCTGCCCTGCTGGAAAAGGTACTGAGCCACATGGCTAACATAGACAAGAATGTAAGAATCAGTTAATAAGAAGACTGAGCTAATGGGCCAAACAGTTTATAACCTAATGTAGACTCTGTGTGATTTTCCTTGGGACTTGCTAGCTGTGGGGTATTGGGGGGGATGGAAATCCCCACAGCTGGCCCTCATGTTACAGCCAAATAGCCCTCACCCTTCTCAGCTCGGGAGGACTCAGAGGGCAGCCCGTGAGTTAGAAGTGGGCCCTCATCCACTCGTCCTGCCTCTTGTCTTTGGGGTTCTCTGCTTCTAGGGCCGTGAGAAGTGAGTCTTGGCTGCTTAAAACCTCTAATTGGTGAGGGAGAATTGTCTGTATTCTGTCAATCATGTTTTAAATAAAACACTAATTGGCCAGGCAGGAGGTGTAGGCAGAAAAACCAGACAGGAAGTGGAAATGATATAAGGAGAACAGGAGTATTCTGGGAAGGAGGAAGATGACTCCTCCCTCTCCTGTCCAGACCACCAAGCAGCAGGATGCGAGCTGCCCCAGCTGAAAAAGGTACTGAGCCACATGGCTAACATAGATCAGAAAAATGGGTTAATCAAGATGTGAGAGTTAGCCAGTAAGAAGCCTGACCTAACGGGCCAATCAGCTTTATAACTTACAGAGATCTGTGTGTGATTTTTCTCTGGGGCTAAACAGCTGGGGGGCAGGGCGGGAAAGAAACCCCCAAACAAGCAGGCTCCCCTCATGTTACATCTAATCAGCAGGATTTTGTTGTTGTTGTGGCCCGAGTGCCCTGAATCACTATGGTTTGAAAAGGACTAGTGCTTTAATTAGCTCTCCAATTGAGGAACGATTTCTTAGAGAAGTGTTGGGTGTCTAGAAGACCTCTGCTAATTTATGACAAGCGTGATTAGCGGCTCTCGTCTGAATCTGTATCACTGGGACACAGAACCGCACCTGTCAACAGCACTATCTGGATCTATTTGGCTGGATGACTTTTTTTTCCTTATTTATTTATTTATTTATTTAAAGAAAACGGACTATCTTTTTGTCATTATACATACCAATCCAAGTTCCCACTCCCTCCTCTCCTCCTATTCCCTCCACATAGCCTCCCATCCCATCTCCATCCAATCCTCAGAGAGGATAAGGCCCATTGCTTTGGGGAAGGTCCAAGGCCCTTCCTACTATATCCAGGCTGAGCAAGGAATCCATCTAAAGAGAATAGGTTCCCACAAAGCCAGTACAAGCAGTAGGGATAAATCCTGGTGCCACCGCCAGTGGTCCGTCAGTCGGCCCCAGCCTTGCAACTGTCACTCACAATCGGAGGGACTAGTTTGGTTCTATGCTTGTTCCTTCCCAGTCCGGCTGGAGTATGTGAACTCCCATTAGCTCAGGTAGTCTATTTCAGTGGGTGTCCCCATCATGGTCTTGACCTCTATGCTCATATTCTCAATCCTCCCACTCTTCAACTCGACTTTGGTAGCTTAGTCCAGTCTGCTGATGCAGGTCTCTGCCTCTGTTTCCATCAGTTGCTGGATGAAGGTTCTATGGTGAGATTTAAGATATTCATCACTACAGAGCAAGTCAAGATCAGGCACCCTCTCCTCTATTGCTTAGGGTCTTAGCCGGGGTCATCCTTGTGGATTCCTGGGGATTTCTCTAGAGCCAGGTTTCTGCTAACTCTATAATGGCTCCCTCAATCAAGATATCTCTTTCCTTGCTCTCATCTCTGTCCTTCCTCCATCTCAACTTTTCCATTCCCTCAAGTTCTCCTCACCACCCCTGCTCCCCTCTTCTTCCTCTTCCACCCTCCATTATCCTCCCATCCCCATGCTCCCAATTTTGTCAGGAGATCTTGTCTGTTTCCACTTTCCAAGTGGATCTATATATGTTTTTCTTAGGGTTCACTTTATTACTTAACTTCTCTAGGATCAATATCCTTTGTTTACAGCTTGTATCCACTTATGAGTAAGTACATACCATATTTATCTTTTTTGGGTCTGGGTTACCTCACTCAGGATAGTGTTTTCTAATTCCATCCATTTGAATGCAAAATTCAAGATGTCACTATTTTTTTTAACAGCTGAGTAGTACTTTAATGTGTAAATGTGCCACATTTTCTTTATCCATTCTTTGGTTGAAGGGCATCTAGGTTTTTCCAGATTCTGGCTATTAAAATAATGCTGCTATGGACATAGTTGAACAAATGCCTTTGTAGTATGTTTAAGCATCTTTTGGGTATATGCCCAAGAGTGGTATTGCTGAATCCTGAGGTAGGTGGATTCCCAATTCTCTGAGAAGCCACCATAC